GGCCAATCAGAGAAGGGCAAGTGACTGGTGCCACAGTGGAGGGGAAGCTGGGCAGGGTGAAGGGACGTGCACAGCTCAGTACAAGCCCCAACAGCAAGTAGGTCCCTGCAGTTCTGGGGGGTGGGGGTGGGGGTGGGGGCGCTGCTCTGGGTAGAGAAGCTTAGCAGGGTCTGGGAGGGCTGCTGGCCTGGTGTTTGCTGAGGGGACAGAGAAAGCTGTGCTGGAGGATTCAGGCCTGAGGGGTTTGACTTGTGCCTGTGGTTATGACCATGTCCTTGCTGATTTGACCTTAGGATGATGAAGCAGTTCCCCCAGGCATGGAGAGCCTCATTAGTGCCCCATTGGTCAAGACCTTGGATAAGGAAGAACAACAGGTATGCCTCTGGGGTGGCCCTGCCCTCTGGGTAGAATTTGGGATTAGGGATTGAATGTTCTGACCCCTGACCTGCCACCCTTGCCAGGACCTCATCATGTTCAGCAAGTGCCAGCGGCTCTTCCGCTCTCCATCCATGCCCTGCAGTGTGATCCGACCCATCCTCAAGAGGCTAGAGCGGCCCCAGGACAGGGACATGCCTGTCCAAAATAAGCGGAGGAGGAGTGTGACCCCCCTGGAGGAGCAGCAGCAGCCTGAGGAACCTGTGAGTGCCTTTCTCCTGAGACTGGGCTGTCACTATCACCTTGATGTTCCACTCACTTGGTCATTCATGGCAGAGGGGAGGGTACAGCTGGTATTCTGGGCATGGTAGTACTGAGAGAACAGATAGCCTCACCCTTGACCCCTGCATCCTTCTGCCTTTCCTCTTAGAAAGCCCGTGTCCTCCGCTCAAAGTCCCTGTGCCATGATGAGATTGAAAACATCCTGGACAGTGACCATCGTGGGCTAATCGGAGATTACTCCAAGGTACCAGCACAGCATGGGGCCCTCAGGAGGCTTACCCTATTACTAATTGGGGACCCCTGCCCCTGTAGCTACTTCTGTTCCTCCTCTCTCCCCAGGGACTCTTTTCTTTGTCCTTTGTTATCTTTGCATCCTATGTTCCCATGCAGACTTCTCCCTTTGGCTTTTCTTGGTCTCCTGACTTTACCCAGATCTGTCTAGGCATCCATTCATTGTACCTCAGCCTTGGAGAACATTTCCCACCTTATATCCATGTCGCCCCTCCTCCTGCCTCACTCCTGGACATGGTAGGCCTATGGGGCAGGAAGCAGAAAGTTCATGTTTTCTATTCCCTCCTTCAGTTCCGCTTGGAAGGTTGTTCCCTGGTTATCAGCCCCAGGAGGTGCCTCTTGGTGGCTATGGGAACCAGAGCTGGATTTGAAGGCCAAAGCAGGTGTGACCTCTGGACTTGGGAACAAAGCTCCTTCCTTTTCAGGCTCCTGCTCTTACCAATTTTACTTTCTCTTTTCTTTTATCCCTTCCCTTTAGGCTTTCCTTCTACAGACTGTGGATGGCAAACACCAAGACCTCAAATACATCTCACCCGAAACGGTAAGCAGGGTTGAGTCATTTTCCAGGGGCCTTTTGGACTACTGTTGGCTGTGACCACCTCTGGGGTTGGGCTACATGTATGGACCAACAAAAGGGCGAGGCCAGTCCCTGGCTGCCAGCCTGACCTTCTGATGGCGCCACCTGCAGATGGTAGCCCTGTTGACCGGAAAATTCAGCAACATTGTGGAGAAGTTTGTGATTGTGGACTGCAGATATCCCTATGAATATGAAGGAGGGCACATCAAGGTGAGGTGGGACACTGGGCAAAGGCCTGAGGACCCCACGTGGCTCAGGCACCCTGCTGCAAGGCTCAACCAGTAGAAGGCCCATGTGTGCCTTCTCATGGTAGGGAACTTGCCCAAAAAAGATGGGGTCACCTCTCTGGGAACAGCAAGGGGGAGGGGTCTGCCTCCCAGGTGCAGGGCTGTGGCCTCACCTCTAGCATCTCTTGACAGACTGCTGTGAATTTGCCTCTGGAACGGGATGCTGAGACCTTTCTGCTGCAACACCCCATCATGCCCTGTAACCTGGACAAGAGAATCATCCTCATTTTCCACTGTGAATTCTCATCTGAGCGTGGGCCCCGCATGTGAGTCCCAGCTTTGTCTGCCCAGCCTGCTAGTGCCTGCCCTTGGCCTTTCCTGCCCAGGCTTGTAGTTGCTGGAGCTGTTGGAATGGCCAGAGCGGTGAGCCAAGCCTTTCAGCTGTGTCTCTGGTCCTTAGCTAGTCTGTTTCAGGAGCCCTGAATATATCTCTTGAATTATGTCCACTCATCACCTCTCTGCTTCCTCTTTCCTAGGCTAGGCCACAGATTTCTCTACTGAATATTGTGCAACTGCTCTCTGGAAATAGAGCTCAGCACCTCCCTCCTGCCATCACCCCAGCCTCTTCTTTGCCCAGTAAAGACCAGCAGACTTATCCTCTACTGGCTGATATTCCTGTGCTCAAAAACTTGTGTGTGGGCTGGGGCTGGGGATGGGGCTGGGGCTTGGGCTCAGTGGCAGACCACTTGCCTAGCATGTGTGAGGCACTGGGTTCAAGTCTTAGCACCACATAAAAATAAAATAAAGGTTACAAAAATTTAAAAACAAAACCTTCTGTGGCTTTCCCAAGGCCTTCAAAGGAACAATTTTTTCTTGAATATTTCCAAACAAAGTGTAAAGATGAGGGAATAAGTCCTCTCATCTAGACCCCACCACATGGCCAGCTCTGATCCCCCCATCCCCCACTGTAATGTTCCAGGTGCCGATTTATCAGGGAACGAGACCGCGCAGCCAACGACTACCCCAGCCTGTACTACCCGGAGATGTATATCCTCAAAGGCGGCTACAAGGAATTTTTCCCACAGCACCCGGTACATGAATGGGGGTGGCTACATCCTCTGGGTGACAGACTGCAGGGAAAAGGCTTGGCCAGGTCATAGTCCTAAGAGAAGGAGAAGGAAGGGCTGGCTTCCCCTTTCCTCCAAATTGACAGACCCCTTCCATCCTGCCCTAGAACTTCTGTGAACCCCAGAACTACCGGCCCATGAATCACGAGGCCTTCAAGGAGGAGCTGAGGACCTTCCGCCTGAAGACACGCAGCTGGGCTGGGGAGCGAAGCCGGAGGGAGCTCTGTAGCCGGCTACAAGATCAGTGAGGAGCCAGTCCTGCCACCATCCTGGCCCTGTGAGGTCCTGGTGCCTATTGTACCATGGGCCTTCTAGAGGCCTCAGGTGCTATCCAGGGGAAAGACAGCATGGGTGTCCTGTCTGTCGCCCCTGTCCCTGATTTCCCTTGTCTCACTCCAGTCATTTTCCATACCCTGGTGCTAACACCACCCCTGGAAGACCCCAGCCTGGTGGGTTAAAACCAGGTCAGAGGAAATATTTTGTGTTCAGCAGGAACCTTTTTGCTTTTCTTCCTTCCTGTTTGGGTCAACTCTTTTGTCTTTCTGGTCCAGAAAAGTCCCTTTATGTATGTGTCAGCTGAGGCTGTTGGGAGAGCCTTGCCCCTGAGGACGAGGATGGGCCAGGGCTGCCCCTGCCTCTGCAAGAATCATGGGTGTGTCTGCATGTTGTCCCTTTCTTTTTCCTGTCCCTCTGTCCAAGCACCTCCAGTATAAACATAAGCTCTTACTCTTTCCTGTTGCAGTATTACCTGCGTGCTTGATTTGTTTGTCTAACTTTTACCTGTCTCAGGACACAATCACTGGTTGTAGTCTCCCCCTGTCCAGTTGGGGTTAGAGATTCAAACAGCAGTTACTCCTTGGTCCTGGCTTTTGTTGCCCCAGAAAGGGATGTTATTATCTTTGGAAGTCCCTGAGGAAGGGGCTAAGGCCTGAATCAGGAGCCTACTGGAGGCCCCAATGCTGTGAATCCTAGGGCCTGACTGGTCAGAACTTGCTGCTGTCCTGTCACGGATGGATGGATGGATGGATGGATGGACGGACCGTGGGCGGGTGGATGGCCATGGATGCATGGTGCCTTGCACACACATGTGCATATAAATTGAGTGGAAGCATTTTGGTGAACATGCTAGCCTGTGGCAGGAATGTATATGTGAACAAAAAGTCTTTACACTTCGTTTGGAAATATTCAAGAAAAAATTGTTCAAGAAAAAATGTGGAAGCAGCTAAACCAAGGACTGAGCAACCTCTGGATTCTGAATCTCAAAGTGGGGGAAGGGTTGTGCTTGAAGGCCCCATGAGACCTCTGTTAAGGCCTTGGTTCAATAAAGCACTAAGCAAGTTAAGAAAGCAGCACTGTGATCTCTGAAGCCCTTGACAAAACCAAAGCTGACCACAGTGGTGGGACTGGGGCAGGGAGCAGGCCAGCAGAGGCTGGAAGGCTTTCTAGTAAGGTATCTCAAGTTCCCTTTCCGTCTTCTCTTGAAGTCTTCCATTTCTTGTATCAAAGACACTTCTGCCAGGACTTTCCCCTCATCTGACTACCCAAGCATTTCCGAGCTTACCTTCCCTAAACCCTACACTCAATGGCAAGAGTAAGTGACCCCAGCATGCCTCAAGAACTGTCAGTGGGATGGGCTGGAGTTGTGGCTCAGTGGTGGAGCACTTGCCTAGCATGTGTGAGGTACTGGGTTCAATCCTCAGCGCCACATAAAAAATAAGTGGATGAAATAAAGGTATTGTGTCCATCTACAACTAAATAAAAATTTAAAAAATCATTGTCAATGGGAGCCAGGTGCAATGGGGCATGCCTGTAATCCCAGCGACTTAGAAGTCTAAGGCAGGAGGATCATAAATTCAAAGCCAGCCTCTGCAATTTAGTGAGGTCCTAAGCAATTCAATGAGATCCTGTCTAAAAATAAAAAAGGCTGGGATGGGTTCAGTGGTTAAACACCCCTTGGTTCAATCCCTGATATCAAGAAAAAAATTGTCCGTGGTGGTACACACCTGAAATCCTGGCTACTCCAGAGGCAGAGGCAGGAGGATCACAAGTTTAAGAGCAGCTTCAGCAATTTAGTGAGGCCCTTTCTCAAAAAGGGCTGGGGATGTAGCTCTGGTAAAGCACCCCTAAATTCAATTCCCAGTACAGAGGAAAAAAAAGAAATCGTCAGCAGGACCAGGTACAGTGACATACACCTGTAATCCCAGTGACTTCAGAAGTGGAGGCAGGATTGCCAAACTCGAGGCCAATCTGGGCAACTAAGTGAGACCCTGTCTCAAAATGAAAAGCTGAGAGCTCTGGGCATCATCATACTGAGACTTGCCTGCTCCACCCTCCCCCCTGGTTTCATAGGAAGGCAGCTGGAAGCAGGTCGCATAGCAGATAAGCAGAGCAGGCATTCCAGCCTGCCCAGGATTCTCACCCTTCACCTCCCACCTTGGTCCTAGCAGCCAATGGGGCTGGAGGGCTGACCTGACCTGTGTCACTTGTGAATGTCCTCTTCTTGCATTATCCAGATCAGGACACCTGAACAGGATGGAGCATGGACCCAATATCTACAGCACCCAGGCCTGTGCCAGGTGCTGATGTCCGTGCCACTTCTGTCCCACCAACAGAGTCATAGTGGCAGTCATGAGACACTTAGTATGATGCAAACGCTTTTAGACTTATAGCCTCTTCAGCCTCCCTAGAGGACATTTAGCTCATTTTGCCAAAGAGGTGGGAGGTGGCCTCAGAGAGACACTTAAGTCAGGAGAAAAAGTCCCCCAAGAGAAGGCCAAAGTGGGTTCTGCCATCCACCTTGAGGGAGGCAGGGACCTGGATCTGGGCAAAGGATGCTGTGGGTTTGCCTCTTGGCTTTTGACTCAGGCCAGGACCTGCTTCCTATGGAAACTTCAGGACACCAGGAAGAGTGCCCCTTCTCCCTTCCCCCAGCAGGGAAGCTTTAACTTTCTTCCTGAATGCTCTTAAAGAGAAACAGATCAGGCAGGGAGGCCGTTTAAAATCCTGGGCTGCCAGCCAGTTTTGAAGGTTGTTTTGCTGGGGCCAGGGCGGGGCAGGAATTCCAGCCTGCCAGGAGCCCAGGAGCAGCCACGTGCTGTGCATTCACAGGGTTAAAGAGCTGTGTGGAGTTGGGCACTAGCACAGGAAGCTGGGTGGTGCTGGCCCAGACAAGGCAGCAGGCACCAGTGGGGTCTAGGGGGGTGGGCATGGGGGAAAGAATTTCCATCTGATTCATGGTCTGAGTTGCACACTCAGTCACATTTTTTGCAATGACAATGTTTAAGGACACTTTTTTTTTTTAAAGGAAGAATATCCAGCATTTCCTCAAAATCACACATCATCAGCATAGACTCTGGACCTGAAGAACCAACCACCATGTGGGGTAAGGTTATTTCTAGAATTTTAGGAGGTCCCTCATGTTCTTCCTATGACTCCCACTCCACAGGTAATTCCTATTGTGACCTCTATCATGGTAGTTTGGTTTAATGAAATCATAGAGTTAGTATTCTTCTGATTTTTTTTTTCATTTGGCCTAATGATTTTGATGTTCGTCATGTTCTCATTTAGTGAGAATTTGTTGCTGAGTAAGTAGTTCATGATATGGATATGTATCCTTTAATTGGATTAATTCATTCTACTCTTTTTTCTTTTGTATTTATTTATTTATGGGGCTGGGGATCCAACCCAGGGTCTCACACATGCTGGATAAGTGCTCTACCAACTGAACTATATCCCAAGACCTCTTCTGTTTTGAAATGTTTGTTTTTTTTTTAAATTAGAGTATAGCTTGATGTAGTGGCATGTACCTGTAGTCCAAGCTACTCAGGAGGCTGAGGCGGAAGGATTGCTGGAGCCCAGTGTTTCAAGGCTGGCCTGGGCAACATAGACATATCTCAAAGAAAGCAAATATAAAAAAAAGGAAGAGGAGGCGGAGGAGGAGGGGAAAGAGAATAGGGAGGAGGAGTGGGGAGGAGAAGGAGGAGGAAACACAAACACACACATACACTCCCTGTCTTTTGCCATGTGATGCCCAGCACTGCCTCAGGACTCTGCTAATAAGAAGACTATCACCAGATGTGGCCACTGACCTTGGACCAGAACCATGAACAAAATAAACTTTAAAAAAAAAATTTAGCTGGGCACAGTGGCACACTCCATAATCAGTAATCACAGTGATTTGGGAGGCTGAGACAGGACAATGGGCAGTTTGAGGCTACCCTTGGCAACTTAGGGATGAGTTTGTTACAAAATGAAAAATAAAAAGAGTTGAAATGTAGCTCAGAGATAGAGAACATCTAGGTTCAATTCCCAGTACTGGGGGGAAAAAAAAGTGATTAATATGTAGTAAAATTCACCCTTTTGAGCATATAGTTCTGTGAGGTTTGTTTTTGTATTTTTGTTTGTTTGGTAGTGGGGATTAAACCCAGAGGTGATTTACCACTGAGCTACATCTGCAGTCCTTTTTATTTGATTTTGAAACGAGATTTTGCTAAGTTGCTTAGAGCCTTGCTAAATTGCTGAGGCTGGCCTCAAACTTGTGATCCTCTTGCCTCAGCCTCCTGAGTCATAGGGATTACAGGTGTGTGCCACTGTGCCCAGATAGTTCTGTAAGTTTTGACCAGTCCATACAGTTCTGTATTCACTACCACAATCAGGATATACAGAACACAGTGGGGCACTCCTGTAATCCCAGCAATTTGGGTGGCTGAGGCAGAAGGATCCTTGGCAACTTAGTGAGGATCCTTGTCTCAAAACTAAAAATAAAAAGCCCTGCAGATGTAGAACGCCCCAGTACTTGGGGGAGGAAAAAAAAAGATATGGAACACATTCATCCTACCCTATTGGAAATTGAAAATAGTGCCAGGAGCATACCAAGAAGTACAGGGTGTTCAGCTTCAGTACTTTCCACACAGTTCTCCAAGGTCCTTACACCAACTCACCTTCCCACCAACAATGTCTAAGAATCTTGTTCCACATTCTTGTCAAAATTGGCAAATTGTAGCTGGGCACAGTGGTGCATGCCTATAATCCCAGCGACCTGGGAAGCTGAGGTAGGATGATCACAAGTTCAAAGCCAGCCTCAGCAACCTAGTAAGGCTCTAAGCAACTTAGCAAGACCCTGTTTCAAAATAAAAAATTAAAATGGGCTGGGAATGTGGCTCAGTGGTTAAATGTTCCTGGTTTCAATCCCTGGTACCAATTTTTTTTAAAAACAAATTTTAAAAAGAAAGAAAAAAATTTAAAAATTGGCATATTGTAATTTCTATCTCTTAACAGAGAATGTGGATTCTGTATATAGCAAAGAACTCTGGCAAATGTTGAGTGCTGAACCCATATACTATCATGTGGCCTCAGCAGGTGTTTGAGTGATGCAGATTCAGTCTTTTTCTGACTCCTATATTGAAAAATGAGACAATATTTGCCGTAGTCTTGATTTTTTTTTGGAAGATACTGAGGATGGAATCCAAGGGTGCTCTATCTCTGAGTGACATTCCAAGCCCCCTTTTTATTTTTTTAAGACAGAGTCTCACTAAATTTCTGAAGTTAGCCACAAATTTGCAATCCTCCTGCCTCAGCCTCTCTAGTAACTGGGATTACAGGCCTATGCCACCATGACTTGCTTTGATTTTTTTCTGTCAATTCAGATTCTTTAAACATCAGTGATTTAAGCCGAACATGGTAGTACATACCTGGAATCCCAGGTGCTCAGGAGGCTGAGGCAGGAGGATGGTGGGTTCAAAGCCAGCCTCAGCAAAAGTAAGGCACTAAGCAACTCCGTGAGTCCCTGTCTCTAAATAAAATATAAAATAGGGCTGGGAATGTAGCTCAGGGGTTGAGTGCCCCTGAGCTCAATCCCTAGTACCAAAAAACAAAAGCAAAGACAAACAAACAAAAACACCCGAATCAGTGACTTAGCCAGGTGTGGTGGCACATGCCTATAATTCCAGCAACTTGGAAGGCTGAGAGAATCACAAGTTCAAAGCCAGCCTCAGCCATTTAGCAAGGCCCTAAGCAATTTAGTGAGACCCTGTCGCTAAATAAAATTTTAAAAGGGCTGGGGATGTGCTCAGTATGTTGTTTTTTTTTTTTCAAAAAAAATTTTTTTCCAACAAAAAGGAAAAAAAAATCAGTGACTCTTTAGAGTTAATTAGCTCTGTGTTAACTGGCTTGAGTCCTCTGTTGACAACAGCCCATGACAATCTAGAAAGCATGATTTCTATAAGGTCTTCATCCCTGATCCCTGAAACTGAACAGAAGGACATCCTTCTTTCCACAGGCAATAAAGCTGTTGGTGTGGTGCAGAAAGAAGTTTAGATGGGAAGGTCCATGGACACGTAGAATCTGGAATTAATCAGGAAAGGACAATTGAGTAATGATGGAGAAGTGGCTGCTTTGCAGCTGTCAAAGTCATGCCTGGAGAGAATGTTGGATGATGTGAGAGTATTCACAATGTAGTGCTCAAAGAAGACAGTTGATTATGGGACAGAAGGTAAGAAGCATCCCCACCCTCCCCACACAGGAGTCTGTGTGGCTGCCAGGGAGTGTAGGGAGGGCAGCCCCAGCCCCACCCCACCCACATTGGCATGCACCCCCCAAGGGGGGTGACCACAGCTGCCAGGCTCTGAGTCAGTGGGGCCTGGGGCAGCGGGGAGGGAAAGGGGCCTCACGTGGCTGGGCCCACACTGCCTCGTGGAGCCTCTGGCTCTCAGCCCTGCAGGAAGCGTGGCTGTTTGAAAGGACGAATCACATATAGCCTAGTCCTCCTGGGGCCCAGCCAAGGCCACTTTCCTGAAAGGAGGGATGCATGGGGGAGGAGGGGTGTTCCTGTGTTGAAAATGGGAGTACCAGGAAAGAAGGCCATCCAATCCAATCCTGGAGTGGAAGGCAGCTCCCAGGGTTGAGTTGTAGAGAATTAGCAGAGTTGGGGTTGGGGAAGGGTTAATGACCTTCCAGAGATCTGTGGGAAAAGGGACTGAGTCAGATTTGTGGTAACCATGACCGGATATGGGAGAAGGAGACACACAAGGGAAGTGCAAGGGGCAGGCTGAAATCTATTGATACGTACACGTCCCACGATACCACGTGCAATATCAGGAAAGTTACTTAATCTCACTGGGCCCCTACTTCCTCATCTGTAAAATGGGGATAATAAAGACTGTATTTCAAAGGGTTGCAAACTGGATCTAATGATTTGGTGTAAGTAAAGCACTCAGAACAGGGCCTGCCGACAAGTGCCACAGGAGAGTCTGCTACAGCTGTTACTACGCACAAAGGGCCAGTGTAGAAAGTAAAAGGAAATCAGGATGGTTAAAAGGAACAGCCTAATTAATTTAATTAAAGGGGCTGTTGTGGAGGGTCCCTCCCCTTCCTGCACATGAACAGGTCCCTGGGTATGGGTTATAGGAGAAAGCCCACCTATAGTGTGCAGGAGGCAGGCAGCGTGGGCTCCAGTCTGGGTAGAAGCTACGGATGGATGTTTGGGGGAGACAGAGGATGGGAAAACTGTGTGAGAGACCTGTAGGAGGCTCTTAGCACATGGTGATGCCAACTCTGAGATGGCTCAAGGAGGTGGGGTAGAGGGAGGGACAAGTCTTGTCTGACTTTTGGGCAGCCAAAATCCACCCAATATTCAGCCTGTCTTGATTCTCAAAAAAGCACCCCTCCTCCTCTTAGTTTCTCATAGTTTCTGCCTTGCTCTTTGAGAAATGCTAGTCACCTTTAACACGGAGTCAGTCAAAAAGTCTACTGCCTGGCCAGGCACGACAGCGCACACTTGTAGTCCCAGTGGCTCGGGAGGCTGAGACAGGAGGATGGCAAGTTCAAAGCCAGCTTTAGCAACAGCAAGGTGCTAAGCAACTCAATGAAACCCTGTCTCTAAATAAAATACAAAATAGGGCTGGGGATGTGGCTCAGTGGCCAAGTGCCAGGGTGCAACCCCCAGTACCAAAAAAAAAAAAAAAAGAAAAAGAACTAACAGGGCTGCCAGGTGTGGGTGCACACCTGTAATTGCAGCAACTCGGGAAGCCAAGGCAGGAGGATCACAAGTTCAAAACTAGTCCCACCAACTTGGCAAAGCCCCTAGGCAACTTAGCAAGACCCTGTCTCAAGATAAAAAATAAAAAGGGTTAGGCATGTGGCTCAGTGATTAAGCACCCTTGGGTTCAATCCCCAGTACCAAAACAAACCAAAAAATCAAAATAAAAGATAAAAAAGGGTGGGAGATGTAACTCAGTGGTAAAAGTACCCCTGGGTTCAATTCTCAATACTAGGGAAAAAAAAAAAAAGGAGGGAGTAGAAATGAGCCAACTGGGGGCTGAGGATGTGGCTCAAGCGGTAGCGCGCTCGCCTGGCATGCATGCGGCCCGGGTTCGATCCTCAGCACCACATACAAATAAAGATATTGTGTCCGCCAAAAACTAAAAAAATAAATATTGAAAAGTTCTCTCTCTCTCTCTCTAAAAAAAAAAAAGAAAGAAAGAAAGAAAAAGAAATGAGCCAACTGGACCTGGAAGTTGGTTCTGATGTCTGAGAAAGGCAGCAGAGATTATCAAGCCTGACTGTCTATCAGCTAATCAGGACCTAGCTTGAGTAGGTGAAGAGTAGAATTCATTTTCCCAATTGAGTCAATTCAGTCCCTGCATAGGTATCCTAGCAGCTCAGTAGTGGGTGCCAAGTATGATTCAAATAGGAAAGCCCCAGGCCACCTGCGGTCTCACCCCTACATGGGTGAAGGGCAGTGGAATGTGGGAATAGAGAAAGGGGTTGGGGGAAGGGCGGGGCTTGAGGCAATTCCCCAACTCAGAGAACCACTGAGAGAGCAGGGCTGGGTAAGGGAGCACCTAAGTTGTGGGTGCCTCTGCTCACTGTCAAGGGAGGGAAGGGCCCCAGAGGGGTTGTTTCCTTCAAGCTCCTCTTTTCTCAGCATGCTTTATTAAATGGTACTTTTGTTCCTTCTCTGTCTCTGTCACATACATACCTGATCCTGTATACTGGCTTTGCCTCAGATTCTAGGCTAACCACTCTAAAAGGAACCTGTAGCCCACTGCTACGACCCTCAGTCTCCACTGTGTTGTCCTCAGGATGGGTCTTGTAACCCCAGGACTCCCAGCCTGTATCCTTCTCCTGCCCCCTGCTTCTGAGCTGCTACCAGACCCAGAAAAGCCTACCTGTCTTTCCAATGCTAATCAATGCCCTTATCTGCCTCTGGATTAAGGGTTGTCAATATGTACTGATCTATTGAGTACCCATTAAGACCAGTGGCTTCATTACATAAATATGTGTGCTCAGCAAGAAGACTGTGGCACCTCTGGGGCCCGTGTTCCTTCCTGCCTTACTATCCTCAGCATAGTGGGTTTTTTATGTTATTTTTTATTACTGGCGATTGAACTCAGGGGCACTAGACCACTTAGCCACATCTCCAGCCCTATTTATGTATTTTATTTAGAGACAAGGACTCACTGAGTTGCTTAGTGCCTCACCATTGCTGAGGCTGGCTTTGAACTCACAATCCTCCTGTCTCAGCCTCCTAAACCACTGGGATTACAGGTGTGTGCCACCATGCCCTGCAGCATAGTGTTTTTTACTTCAGGGGCCACAAGTTGACTGTGTGCTACAAAAGGTCAAGGAATGGTATCATATGAACTGGGTGTGATGGCGCATGCATATAATTCCAGGTACTCAGGAAGATGAGGCAGGAAGATCGAAAGTTCAAGGTCATCCTTAGCAATTTAGCAAGATTCTGCAACTTATCAAGACCCTGTTTCCAAAAAATAATAAATAAATAAATAAATAAAAAAGGGCTGAGGATGCAGTTCAGTGGTAGACAGTCCCTGGTTTAATCCCTCATACCACCACATTAAAAAAAACCCCAAAACAAAACAAACAATCCAGCCCACACAAAACTATATTCCTTCCTTATCTGGAAAATTCTGGGAGGCATTTCTGACTGACCTCTGGTCCACTTTGGGTTTGTTCTGACCTACTCCTCTTGTCCAAAATGCCCTTCCTGCCAGGTGCAGCTTCTGAACTCCTTCCTACCTCTTCAGAAAGCCCAGTTTAGATGTTACCTTTGAGTAATATTCCCAGACTGCTCCTCCAGGCTTCTTCCCATTCTTGAGCCTCTTGGACCTCTCTGTCTCCATTTTATCTGTCCCACCTGTCTGCCCAGAGCCTGCCCTGGAAACTCTTTGAGTACCCAGACAATGTACCCAGCAGAAAGAGCAAATGAGCACACGAATGAATAAAATGTATGTCTTCCTTTTATTTCAGACCATGACTATCCTTTGCAATCTTGGTCAAATTCTTCCTCTCTTCTGCAGGCTGGCTGTTGTGGGAAGCAGAGTTCATGCCTTAAAATAAACGCTTTCCACTGGGCACTCTGCTGTGTGATGGGGGCCACATCAAGGAGCCATTTAGTCATCTGCTAAATGAGAGGCTGTACTTAAAAGTTTCTTTTCATTGTGCTGGAGATGCACTTCAGTGATAGTGCTCTTGCCCAGCATGCTCTATCCCCAGTACATGGAAAAAACAAATTCGTATTTTAAATCTCCACTATTCCTAACTCAAGCCTGCATTCTTCTAGTGCAGAGGAAGGATTCTATCAGACTTCAAAGAAGATATTTTAATGAAATTGTCACCATCTATGAGTCACATAAAAATGAGGACTGTATGAGGGAAGTGGGCCTGGCTGAAATTTTCATTTTTACTGAAGTTTCTGTTGAATTAAATATATGGGAAAGTGTTCATATCTTAAGTGTCCAATTTGGTTAATATTTGCAAGGTGAATGTGCCAATATAATCATCACCCAGATTGAGGCACAGAATGTGACTGTCTCCCAAAGCTCCCTCATGTCCCTCCAGTCATTATCTCTCAAGGATAACTGCCATTCTGACTCGTAATTGTGCAGAACAGCTTGCTTAGATTTGTACACTTTCCCTTTATCTTTTTTTCTTTTGTGTGTGTTGCTGGTGATTAAAACCAGGGGCATTCTACCACTGAGTTACATCCCAGCCACCCACTTTTTTTTTTGCTTTGAGACAGGGTCTTGCTAAGTTGCTGAGGCTAGCCTCTATCTTGCCATCCTCCTGCCTCAGTCTCCCAAAGTGCTGGGATTAGAGTTGTATGCCACCATGCCTGGCCAATTTACACCCTTTCTACTAAAGAAATCACATGGGGTCTACTTATTTTTTTTATACCAGTAATTGAACCCAGGGCCCTTTACCACAGATGGAGCCATATCCCCAGTCCTTTTTATTTATTTATTTTTTTTATTTTGAGACAGAGTCTTGTTAAGTTGCTTAGGGCCTTGCTAAATTGCTAAGACTGGCCTCAAACTTGTGATCCTCCTGCGTCAGCCTTCCAAGCTGCTGGGATTACAGGCATGCAGCATGGCACCTTGCTTGTGTCTACATTTTTGTGACTCGTTTTTTTTTTTTTCACTCAACATTATGTCTGTGAGGTTATCCATATGTATATCAGTAGTTTTATTTCATTGTCATATAGTATTCTACCAAACAAGAATACACATGTATTTATTCATTTCATAACTGACAAGTATTTGGATAGTTTCCAGCTTGAAACAATTAAGAATAAAGCTACTGAGAACATTTCACATGTCTTTTGGTGACTAATGACTCCCACTTCACCCAGGTATGTATCAAGAGTAGAACTGCTAGATCACAAAGCAGTGTGGTTGGCTGAGTAAGTATTGCTGGCTGGGTAGATATTTCCATGGTGCCCAAGTGTGTCCTGAAGTGTGTCCTGGATATAGAAGAGGCCAGCGGCCAAGGAGAAGGGCTCTCCCATAAGCAGCCCTCAGCAAAACCATCAGGTGAGACTTCCCACTCTGCTGCTTTCCACCCCCACGGCCACTCCCCAGAAGGCTGAGGAAACCCTCCATGATATCACTCCTCTGGGTTCTCCACAGTCCTCCAGAATAGTGGTTCAGGCCAGCCTGTCTCCTCCGTGAACCCTATACAAGGTCAGTCCTGTTATGATCTGCAACTTAGTGTAGACTCACTGCCTAAGGAGAAGACAGAGGTCAGAAACCTGTGTTCCAGATGCTAGATGGGCCCCCAAATAAAGCCCTCTGCCAGTTCATTGCTGTAATCAGCTGGCAAACATGAGGCCTGACTGAGAGTGATAAGAACTGAGGACCAGGAACTCAGCCAACATCAGTCCACATCACTCACCAGCTCAGTGGCTGAGGCCCTGCACTATCTTTGGGCCTATCCCTCCACCTACAAATACATTTAAATGTTATACCTGTGGTCAAAATGCTCACATACCTTAGCCAGCACTGCTCCCCAGGGTCCTAGGCCAAAGGGCCCAGAGTGTACTTTCTCAGGGGATTCTGACTCCAGAACCCCTGCTTGGGCCACTGTGCCCTATCCTCATTTTTCTTTTTCTTTTTTTTTTTTGGTACCAGGGATCGAACTTGGGGGCACTCAACCATTGAGCCACCTCCCCAGCCCTATTTTGTATTTTATTTAGAGACAAGGTCTCACTGAGTTGCTTAGCACTTAGCAGTTTCTGAGGCTGGCTTTGAACTAAAGATCCTCCTGCCTCAGCCTCCAAAGCTGCTAGAATTATAGGGGTCTGTTACTGCACCTGGCCCTTCATTTCTTATCACAGGAAGGGTGTTCAGGTCCCTTCAGTCCTGCCTTGTGTCTGCTCCTGGAAAGTGAAGATGGAAGCCACAACCCAGGTGTACCCCATGGGAGCAGGTGTACACCACTGCTGCTGGGAGACCTTCATAATGGTTCAAGAGGCCAATGGGCAGTCTGAGAAGGAAGCCTTCCCCAAAGTTTGGGTCTGAGTACATTTGGAAGGGGGAGGGGAGGTGATTCCAGACTAAGGGTATCTACAGCCAGTATAGAGGGGCTCTGCAGCATAGAACACTGGGACATACCTGGGGAGGCTCAAGCCGTTCACTTGCCAAGAAGTGAAGGAGTATACACCTTCAGTTGCGGGGAACAGTGCAGGGCAGACGGTAAGGCCCAGGCAGACCCCAAATATTTCTCGGCCATGTCTCTAGGTTGAGGTCTTTACAAGGCTCTGGAGGCTGGTACCTGACAGTGCCCATTTCAAGTTTAATGTATAAATCTCTTCATGATGGCCTCCCTCCAAGGAGTCAAGCAGGGATCCTGCTAGAGGTGGGACATGGGAAGAAAGAAAGAAAGAAAAAAAAAGGTCAGCCCTACTAAGCGCTGGCCCCTGCTGTCATTATATTATGGGATTTCACTGGGGCTCAGCGGAAGTTGATCTGCCAGGAACACGCAGCTGTAACAGGATTGGGATCAAAGTTCAAATCTTTCTATGCCAAACTCAGCCCCAGTCTTAGCCGGCTGAGGGAACCCTATATATGGGCAAAATTGCCTATATATACCTATTTCCCTGCAAATTCATAATTTTTCAGGGCCTTTGATCCTCACACAATGGTCAGTCTAGGAAGTAAACCAGCCACCTCGAGGCCCTGAGGCGTAGCCACGAGCCGCACTAGGTTGGCAGGCAGCCAGGGAGCCTGCACTCCGCGCTCGGGCTACTCTCCGCCTCCTGGGAAAGCACGCGCACTGGTGGCCGTCAGGGCGACGCGCCCCCTCGCGGCCGCCCGGGTCGGTGGCCAGGGGCGGGGCTAGGTCAGGGCTTCCAGCCTGGCAGCACATACCCGCACGGCTTCCACGGAGAACTCAGATCCCCGTGTGGAGAACACTGAAGCCCGCTTGCGCCCCGGGCCTGAGTGTCGGAAAGTACCTGGAACGCAGAGCAACGCACGCTACGCAAGGGCCCCGCCTACTCCGACCCGCGGCGCTCTTGCGCGTGCCTGCCGCCGGCTTGCGCAGGCGCCCATGAATCGTGAGGCCGCCATTGCTTGCTCACTGCCGTGTTGGGCTCCCATTTCGAAGGCCGCCGCCCTGAGGGAAGGCTGAATGCTACGCCTCGATAACAGCGTCCTAGTGCTGCAGGGGCAGCACGTTCAGAACTGAAAACCCTCTCAACGCCAGGCTGATCGGAATAAGAAACTACAATTCCCAAAGTGCATTGCACCGCAGGGTTGCGGGAAGTAGTGACGTAAGGCTCCTCGGCAGCTACCATTATTCTGGTGGGGGGCTGGGGGACTCCGGCTGATGACGCGCTCTGGTTGCCTCTGGCGGGTCACGGGAGGTCAGCGCTAGGGAATAAGGGCTCGGGTCTCCAAGTGCCTTCGGGATATATACAATTCCAGCCATCAAACTGACTTTCTATTTAGCCTTAAGGATGGCTACCTGCTGACTGTACGTTGCCTTTCAACCCTCAGGCCAGCCACTGAACTAACCAGATATTATTATTATTATTACTTATTTTGAAATAATCAACTCCCATATACTTTGTTTGTTTTGGTACTGGGGATTTAACCCAGCGGCGCTCTACTACTGAGTTACAGCCCCAGCCCTTTTTATTTTTTATTTTGATAGGGTCCCCCTAAATTGCTGAGGTTGGCCTTGACTTTGTGATCCTCTTGTCTCAGCCTCCTGAGTTGCTGGGATTATAGGAGTGTACCACCTCACACAGTTTCCTGTATATTCATTGATAAGACTAGCCAGTCTTCACATCTTTTATCCCCTTTATCATTTCTCCTTTTCTCCGTATACCTATTCTGCCACACACACACCCCTCCCGGTTTGATTTAGCTGCATTTGGTGCCTCTTTGTCTCTGTACTTAAAGGTATGTCTCTATGTATTTTTTTTTTCCCTGAAAACAGGGACATATTCCTACATTCAAAACCAGGTAACATTGACCAAGACCATCTTCTAACCCATAGTCCATATTTAAATGTTTCCACTTGTCCTAGTAATTCCCTATGTGGAAATTGTCTTTTTCCTGGCCTAGGATCCAGTTCAGGAGCCCATGTTGCATTTAGCTGTCAGGTTTCTTTAGTTTTCTTCAGTCTAGAGTGGTTCCTCAGGTTTTCCTGGACTCTTGAGACCTTGACTTTTTTGGAGATTCTTGGCCAGTTGTTTTGAAGAATTAGGTTTAGGGTGTCTGTGATTTCTTCACCACTAGATGCTCTGACTAGGCATCACAGAGGCTGGGGTGGGTGTTGGCTGGGTGAGGGGGTTCAGTGTCCAGCCACAGTGGCCTCTGGACCCACCCCAGATGCTGCTGGGCCACACCCACAGGTGCTTCCCAAGCTGGGGTTTCACTCTCACCCAGGTCTTTGGCTTTTCTGTAGCACCCACCACAGAGCCATGGTCCACGCTTTCCTCATCCACACCTTGAGGGCCCCAAATGCGGAGGACACAGGCCTTTGTCGAGTGCTGTACTCCTGTGTCTTTGGTGCTGAGAAGTCAACTGATGATCCTCGACCACATGGTGCAGAGAGGGATAGGCTTCTCCGCAAGGAGCAGATTTTGGCGGTAGCCAGGTAACCACAGTCCAACTCCAGGCTTCATTGAGCACGAGGCCGATTGTGATAGACGCTCTGGGGGCATGCAGCAACACAGGAGGACTAAGAAGCAGGGAGGATATCTTGGAGTGGTTTTTCCTACAGAGTCTTCCACAGGTGTTAATAGTGTTAATATGAAAGAGGGTTGAAGAGGGCTGGGGACTGTAGCTCAGCCATAGAGCATTTGCCTGGCATGCTCAAAGCCCTGACTTCAAACCTCATCACTGCAAGAAAAGTTTAAGGAAATAATGTTAATGCTTTTATAATCATGATTATAGTGAGCACTCATCGAGTCTGTATGTGCTAAGCATTTATGTTTTGAGCATTTCACATTTATTATTAATTCATTTAATTGTCATAATAGTTTTTTGAGGTAGCTACAGTTATCCCCCCCTTACATACGAGGCAATGAGGTTCACAGTGTTTAAGGAACTTAACCTGCCAGGGTTATACAGCTAGAAAGTGACACAGCTGAGATTGGAGTGTAGATTCAGCATACTTTGTAGTGCAGGACTTCTCAGGGCTTTTATTGTGCTGTAGGCTTTCTGTATCTCTAAGAAAGAAAGAATATGTATACCCCAGCCATCTTTATACTAAGGTCCTCCGGAATGTTTGGATTCAGAGCACAATTTGGAAAACACTGTTCCAAAGTGGCTATCCTTGAACCTTCCCATCCCAGACTTAGTTACCAGAGTTTTCCCCCTCTGCATTCTGGGTAGGAAATTACTACTCTGGGCAACTTTTACTGATTCCTGCCAGCCTCTTGTTCTTGACTTCCCCTCCCTCCCTGTAGCACAGAAAACCAAACAAATATCTTCACTATTTTATTATTTTGGTGCTGGGGATTGAACCCAGGGCCTTGCACATGTTAAGCACATACTTTGCCACTTAGATATATCCCAGCCCCAACAAATGCTTTAAAACCAGGCTGTGCATGACTCAAATTAGAAGGCAATTTAGGAAGGATCACAGGGAGTTTTCAATGGAAAGATGGAAAACTTTATTTTTACTTGGAGAAGGTTGCACGATGGGATGAAGGTAGAGAGGTTGGGTAGCCCAGGTTGGGCGATGGCATTAATTTTCTTTAGCAAGGCCTCTATGAAGCGGGTGGGACAGCCTCTTCTTCCCCTGGGGCCCTTTTTTAGCTGAAAAAGCTGTTTTTAGAACCTGCCTTCTCTTGGCCACATGTAGTAAAGTGGTCTAGGGCCCAGAGGCCAGGCCTGGATTCCAAGATGACGACATACTTCCTTGCTCTGTGGCACTGGGGAGGTCACTTAGTCTCTCTGAACCTCAGTTTCCTCACTTGAGATATGGGGTTAATGGTAGCTCCCAGAGTAGTCATGAGGATGACAGAAGTTGGGCCTCACCAGACCTGTCACTTCTTCCCAGGCAGGTGGAGTCAATGTGCCAGCTGCAGCAGCAGGCATCTGGCCGACCCCCAACGGACCTGCAGTCTCCATCCTCAGACGAGCCTGTGCCCCTGCAGGAGGCTCCACGAGGTGCTTTCCGCCTGGCAGCAGGAGACCCTTTCCAGGAGCCAAGAACTGTGGTGTGGCTGGGAGCGCTCTCGTTGGGCTTTGCCCTGGTGCTGGATGCCCATGAGAACTTGCTGCTGGCCGAGAGTACCATCCGGCTTCTGGCCCGCCTGCTCCTGGACCACCTTCGCCTGCTGACCCCTGGCTCCAACCTCCTGCTGCGAGCTGACCGCATTGAAGGCATCCTTACCCGCTTTCTGCCCCATGGTCAGCTGCTTTTCCTCAATGACCACTTTGTCCAGGGTCTGGAGAAGGAATTCAGTGCTGCCTGGCCCCGCTGACCCCTCACTGGAATGGGGCTCGCTGAGGGGATAGGGAAGGAATATAGAGATTCCACACACAGCCAGGGGAAGCTTGGCATTTGCCTCCTGCCTGACCTGTTTCTTGCTCTGATGTGCTGCCATATCCAGGACACATGAATGGGACAAGCTGGCAGCAAGGGGACCAGTGTGAGGGTAGAAGTGGGACTGTGTCTATTCTCAGGTCACCAGAATCACAGAACATCCTGAGCCTAGAACTGCCGTCGTGTGACTTACTCAGACCACTGCATTATGTATGTCAGACCTGACCTAGACTCTGCCTTCCTAAAGCCCCACTAGCCACTAGTGCTGGGGGGTTAGGGGGCGCTGCCTAAAACAGCACACCTTCTCCTTCCAAAGCCTCAGTCATTGCAGACTCCCTTCATGGTGGGGGCGGCTAGGCCCACAACCTGGCAGGCCCTGGCCCCTACCTTTGCAAATACTTAAGCAACATCATTGGAGATTTTGTTAGCAAGGGCATCCTCTCCAGCTAGCTCCACCTCAGTTCAGAAACACTGTTCAGCAGGGCATCCTGTAGCCCCTTGTGTGCCAAGCCCTAGCAGATCAGGTAGGGTTAAGATGCAGCATTTGGGAAGTCTGCGCTGGTTGACCTTGTCTTTCTCATTTTGTATTAAAAGTGCTGGTTGTGTGACCTCGCCCTTTGTGAGTCTGATAGACACATTCTTCTACAAGTGAGTGCCTCTTCAGATGGCCTGTGAGCTAGGTGTCTACTTCCTGCTCAAGGGTCTCCCAAGAGATTTCTTGGGCAGTCTCTATATCTTGCCCGCCTCCTTGCCTGCAATCTCCACTAGTGGCAGGTCAGTGTGGGCCTCCGGTAAGGAGAGCCTGAGACAAGTATGTGCAGGTGGCTTATGTGAGAGGTAATCCTAGGCAATAGGAAGGAGAGGCAGCTGATCAGGTGTGACTCGATGGGGAGTTTCATGCTCAGTCTGGGGGCCAGTGTGTAAGTCACCTCTGAATTACCTCACCTGAGGGTTGGGGGCCGTGGGTGTTTGCCCACTTGCTTTAGTCTTTGCTTGTTGTCGCAGGGTGTGTAAATTCCTCGGCTCTTTCTGCTCTCAGAGAGTGAAGCTGAGCCTGCCTGCCAAAAATATATGGACGGGCCACCAAACACCAGTTGTTAGGAGGTCTTTAATCAGCAGCTTCTAGTGTTGGCCTAAAATTATTCAGTTACAAAAAGAAAAATCGTTATCATTTTCATGATCAGTCTGCTACTGTAAAGACAAGGCTTTCTTGGTGTGGGCAGAATGGCCTTCTGGGTGGTCAGGGTGCAGGTGGCATCCCCATCTCATGCTTCCCATACATCAGTTGCCCTTGGTCACCCAGGATGAGTCCACCCACATGCATTTAGGAGGCAGCACCGTAATCAGCCCTTCTGTGTCTGCAGCCAAGGCCACCAGCCATACTGTAACCTTCTACTACCAGGGATAATCTTGGTGAAGTGGCTTTATTCTCACAAGGACAGGCACTCTGACCTCAGGGGAAGATCTCAAACTTGCCTGATCTGAATTCTTTCTATTCAAACTGAACTTGAAGGAGAGATTGGGACCCTTCTGTCCTGGAAGTTGGAGTTGGGCATGTTTGGTGGCCTTGGTTCCCATCTCCTGGAGCAAACTGATACATAGAGAATGGAGGAGACTGAGGCCACACCCTGGGGCTACTGAGCTCCTGGTTCTTGTTCTGGCTGCCCAGTTACTACCTGGGTTTCTGTCACCCCATGAGCTCACCCAGTGTCCTTTCTACATTTTTCCACTTTGTTTTTGGATTGAACCCAGGTGTACTTTACCACTGAGCTACATCCCCAGCCTTCTTTATTTTAATTTATTTATTATTATTATTATTGTTATTATTATTTTGTTTACTTTTTTCCCCAGTGAAATAAAGTTTATTTTTCCCATCAACAACAATTATAAGTATAGATACTTGCCTAATTGTTCCAGACTGACACAAACACAGGTATTGGTCAAACAATAGCACATTCTGTTACAGGGATAATTAGTGCTATGGTCTGTGCCCACAGAGAAAATATCCCCAAATCATATGAATATATGGTAGGCATTATCAGGGAGCTTCTGTGAACAGCAAACTTTATGCCACTGACAAAAGGAAGGCTCTAGGTAGAAATCAAGAATCTTTTTGTGATTGTTAGCAAGAACCTCAGTGCAAACTTGAAACCACTTTAGGAAGAATTACATGGAACACTTACAAGAGAAAGAGCACCAAGTTAAACTGGTCTAGATATGAGGAAATCTCTAAATCTTCTTGTGGGTTTTCATTAATTCTGGGTCAGGAGAAATTCATAATAAATATTAATTTATAATTAATGGAATTCATAATTAATGGGATAATAATTGATACTATATGAATTTAGAATTCAGTTTTAATAATGTTTTTGAAATCTGTCTCCATATTTTAATTTATTTTTAAAATATTTTTTAGTTGTAGTTGGACACAATGCCTTTTGTTTTATTTATTTATTTTTATGTGGTGCTGAGGATCAAACCCAGCACCTCACAAGTGCTAGGTGAGCACTCTACCACTGAGCCACAATCTCAGCCCTCCAGCCCTCTTTGTTTTTTGACAGAGCCTCACTAAATTGCTGAGGCTGGGCTCAAATTTGTAATCATCCTTCAGCTTTCAGAGTTGCTGGGATTATAGGCATTTGCAATTGCTCCTGGCTCTTTACCACTTTTGCCCCAGGGCCCCTGGCCAGGTTTCCACTTGTCCTTATCTCACATTCATGAGTTTGCCTTGGGCCTCGATGCCCCCAGCTTCCAGGGGAGTCTAAGAGCGGCATGGTTTGATACTCAAAAATGCTTTAAAAATTTCAGAAGAGGAAGAGGAAGGGGGGACACTTTAGTGAGGAAGACCTAGTGTAGGAACCAGGACTTAAAATTAAGATTGCTGCATAAATTGGGCACAGTGGCTCATACCTATAATCCCAGTGGCTTGGGAGGCTGAGACAGGAGGGTCTCGAGTTCAAAGCCAGCCTCAGCAATGATGAGGTACTTAGCAATTCAGTGAGACGTGGCTCAGTGGTTAAGCGCCCCTGAGTTCAATCCCTGCTACCAAAAAAAAAAAAAAAAAAAATTGCTAGAGAAGTAAACTTGCTTCACCTCCAAGCCTTTTGACGGTCTTCTTCCTGTCCTAGGAATCTGGGTCAAGCCACACACCCCTTGACCTCTTGAGAACTGGAGACATTTAGCAGCTGGTGTTGAAGCCAGGGCACAGAAAATGCTCTTGGGACAACAGGAAGATAGCAGGAAGGAAATGGAGCCCTATATAGAGGAGGAAGTCACAGGTTTCAGGCCAGGCCATGGTGTTGCTAGGTGGTGTGGATCACTGGAGGCATGAGGGATGCTTGGGATGGTCCTGGATCATCACATCTCCTTCAGGACAGTGTTATTTTCCCTAGGCCTGTGACACAGCAGACTATTGTCCAGCAACCCCCAGGGCTCAGTCCTTTTCTTTAAACAATTATTCATATATTTTGTTGTAAACTCAAATACTGTTTATCAGATGCAACACTCAGTGACCCCTTAATCAAAGCTCTGCATATTTATGCCATTAGAGTGACCTTGATTTTTGCATTTTTGAATAGTTTTTTTTTAAAAAATGGGATTGAACCCAGGGCCATTTTACCAATGAGCTATATCCCCAGTTCTTCTTATTGCTTATTTTGAGACGATGGTCTCGCCAAGTTGCTGAGGGCCTCACTAAGTTGTTAAGGCTGGGCTGGAACTTGGGATCCTCCTATCTCAGACTTCTGAGTTGCTGGGTTTACTGCCCAGCTAATATACTTTATTTTCTAAAAGCAATTTTATATTCACAGAGAAATTGAGCAAGAAGTACAGAGAGTTCCCATATAATCCTTGTCCTCACATATGCATACCCTCCCATTATCAAATCCTGCCTAGAATGGGTATATTGTTACAATTGTTCAGTCTACATTGACACATCAGCATCACCCAAAGTCCATAGATTCCCTTAGTATTCACTCTTGGTGTAGTGCTTTCTAAGAGTTTTGACATGTGTGTAGTGACATGTATCCATCATTGCAGTACACAGAGTAGTTTCATTGCCCCAAAACTCTCCTGTGCTTTGCCTATCTGTCATCGCATCTCTTCCACTAACTCCTGGCAACTTTTAATTTTTTTTGCCATCTCTCTGGGCTTATCTTTTTCAAATGTCATGCAGTTGGAACCATACTAGCCTTACACAGTGGCTTCTTTCATGTAGTAATATGCATTAAATTTCTTTCATGTCTTCTCTAGGCTTGATTGCTCATTTTTTTAATTGCTGACTAATATCCCATCCTATAGATGAACTAGAGTTTATCCATCCATCTACCAAAGTACTCATGGTTGCTTCCAAGTTTTGGCAATTACAAATAAAGGTGCTCTACACATTCATTTTTGTGGGGCTATACAATTTCAATTCATTTGAGTGAATACCAAAAACTGTACATTCAGTTTGTAAGAGATTGCCAAATTGTCTTCCAAAGTGGCAATACCATTTTGCCAGTAACAGAGTTCCTGTTGTTCCACATCCTTACCAGCATTTGATGTTGTCAGTATTTAGACTTTGTTCATTCTAATAAGGGGCAATGGTATCTCATTGTTTTAATTTGCAATTCTCTATTGACATAATGTTGAACATCTTTTATGTACTTAACTTACCAGCTGTATACCTTCTTTTGTGAGGTGTCTATTCAGATATATATATATATATATATTGTAGTTGTACACAATACCTTTATTTTATTTATTTATTTTTATGTGGTTCTGAGGATTGAACCCAGCACCTTGCACATGGTAGGCGAGCACTCCACTGCTGAGCCACAACCCCAGCCCAGGTCCTTTGTTTTTGTGTGTGGTGTTTATTTTTTTGTTTGTTTGTTTTGTTTTGTTTTTTGTACCAGGGATTGAACTCAGGGCCACTTAACAACTTGAGCTACATCTGCAGTCCTTTTTATTTTGAGACAGGGTCTCACTAAGTTGTTGAGGCTGGCCTCAAACTTGCTATTCTCCTTCATCAGCTTCATGAGTAGCTGGGATTACAGGTGTGTGCTACAATTCCTATCTCTTTTGCCTCATTTTTAATTGGGTTGTTTGTTTTATTACTGTTGAGTTAGAGTTCTTTGTATATTGTAGGTAACAGTCACTTATCAAGTATCTCTTTTTCAAATATTTTCCCCAGTCTGGGGCTTGTCTTCTCATTTTTTCACATTGTCTTTCACAGAGCAGAACATACATATATATATATATAAAGTATGTATGTGTGTGTGTATTTATTTGTCAATGGACCTTTATTTAATGAACTTATTTATTTATATGGAGCACTGAGAATCAAACTCAGTGCCTCATAAGTGCTAGGAAAGTGCTCTACCACTGAGCTATGAACTCAGTGCCAAGCAGAACTTCTTTTGTGTGTGTGTGTGTGTGTGTGTGTGTGTGTGGTCCTGGGGATGAACCCAGGGCCTTGTGTGTGCAAAGCAAGCACTATATCAACTGAGCTATAGCCGCAGCCCTGGAGCAGAACTTCTTTTTTTTTTTTTAAACATTTATTTTTTTTAGAAGTAGTTGAACACAATACCTTTATTTTGTTTTATTTTTATGTGGTGCTGAGGATAGAACC